TATAGTTTGTTAATTTTAGCCTGAAAGTACAAAGTTGACTCACAAGGCCTTCCAAAAATTCTAGCAAACAGTAGCTTGATTAGTGTGAAAATCATAGTACCACAGGAAGGAGGATATGATTAGACTAGATAGTATTTTTGTCATGGCTTATCTGTGAGAAATACTTCGTCATGGCTAGGTCCTGGCATACACACAATTCTCTTCCTTCCCAGAGTCCAGCATTCCCCACCTGTAATCCTTACACTTTTAGTTCAAAAATCACAACTCCTCTCTCCTTTGGGATTACTGCAGCCTTTTGTAATCTTGCTCATCAAGTTCACTGGGTCTTTTAGGTGCAGTGTTCTCAGGTGTGTTGACTGTGTTTTTTTCCTCTCCTAAATTGTTAGTGCTAATGCAATGTCATTGGTGGGTAATTTGTCCATAATTTTGGATACAGGTGATTTAACCCTTTTATTGACTCGGAATAGGAGTCTTTCTCTGTACCTATGAAGCATAAAACATTATTCTTTGGACCTCTGCAACATTCCTCGTTTACAGGATATGTGAAAAAATTAAAGACACCTTGTAATTATTACATCTCACAGGGTTTTCTTAGGCAAGATAGAGTAACTTAACTGACTTTACAAGTTGTATGCCATTATCTGCATCATGATGGGTGGATGGATGAGTCTTATCTTTAGATGGAGAATTCAAGATACTAAAAGGCTTTTCAGTTTTCAGAGTGGAAAAGTCCTCAGGGTTTTCTTATCCACTTGTGAAGCTTGTATTTCAGAAGCTAGTGCTAGTAGTGGTTGAGGGGTCTGATGTTCAGAGTGAGGTTTTTAATTCTGGTCTCCTGGGAAAGATCAGCACCTTCTGCACAATTCTCTTCCTTTAGTTTCTCAAGTGTTGGCAGTTTACAATGAGCCTTTCAGTGTAGAGTCACATGAGCTGTGCCCACCTGAAGTCTCCAACCTGGGCTTTTTGCAGCCTGCTTTGAGGTGTTTTGCTCTTCCTGAACAACACAGAGCACGGTGAATGACCACGCCGCTTTCGGAGAGAGGCCAGCAGTTGCTGCAGTGTCCAACACAAGTACTAGAGAAGAGGCATTTTTGAAGCCACAGTTCTTAATTTGTGGAATATCAGTGGACTTCATGAGCAAAATTGAAGTATTAGCTTACATAATGGAAAACTAAGCTTCACACAAGATTTAAATTAAGCTGAGATACTGCATGTTTTTAGGAAAATGCATTGGAAATGGGCACTGTTATGAGAATGTCATTGTCTGAACCAGAACGAACTGATAAATCCTGTGGGAGTTCCTTAGAGTTTGCTTGTTAGCACTTGCAACAGCTCACTGCAAGTTCTACATTAGGTATGATAGCTTTTCTGATACTGGACTGGTTGTTTTCTCCGTTCTTTTGATTTATGAACGGGGCACATGTCACAAATCTACACTACAGACACTCACACTGCTTGTAACAGTCTTCTGTTTCACACTTCTCTAAGGCCGTGGCAAAGTTTGAATCTAATTTCAAAGTTAGCATTTCTGAAGTTTAAAAGCAATTGTCAGTGTAACAGATCTTTCACTTAAGAATACTACTAATCTATAGTGTGAGTGGGAGCCACCATTGACAAAAAGAATAATTATCTCATTTAACTGTGAACAGAGACCAGAACATTTTGAAAAGAAAATGCTGTCATGTACAGCAGGGCAGCAGGCAGAACACTACTTCTTATTCAATCTTCCTTCCATGCATATAATAAATGAAATATAGGTAAAGAAGTAACTTTGTGCATTCCTCCTCCTCTGCTGATTTATTATCGATTGTGGATTTTGTCTTTGTGACTTGTAGTTTGAATAATTTTCCTTCCAGGTGCCTACAACAGCTGCCTCAACTGAAGCTGAAGCTCGGATCTTTTGGCTTGGTCTCATTATCTGCCCAGTTATTTGGACAGTGTTTTTCTTCAGCACCTTGTTCTCCTTGAAGCTGAAATGGCTGGTAAGTCTGGGGGTCCTGGAAGACCTAGAGCTGACAGACAGTGTTAGGAGAGGGAACACCCAGATCCCTTAGTTTCACAACAGTCTTTGAACCACATCTTCCAACAGTACAAAAATTCCACTGATAGCTTCAACAGATCAGAGGAGTTTTTCTGCAGTCAAGCCCTGCAGGCTGGAACAGGTCAGTAGTTTTTAGCCCCACTTCTACTAGGGTATAGGATGTCGACTCCTTCATCTAACTTGAGAACCTTAAATGGGTGGCAAAATGACGGACTTCTTTTTAACTGTAGCAACTTTTCCCCAAGTTACTTCAGTCAAAGCAAGTAATAGGGGAGGATAAAAAATGAGTAAGTGATGCTGGTTTTCATCTCTCCTTGGAACTTGAATGTTACTTGCTCTTAAAAGTAAGGTTTTAGATCTCTGGTACCATTGCCTTTTGAAAGAACCAGTATATAGTGTTTAAAATCTTTATAAATTGAGCTATAAGTAAGTATTTTATAATTACTGTATTTATAAGCCATCTACTCTACAAAGAAAATAAAAGAAAATATTACACATTTTTCTAAACACAGGAGGAAGTTAACTCCACATACTGCATTATTTTAATATATTTTTGTCTATGAAGTCTTCAAGTTTTCCCCTGTAAAAATTAAGTGGTTGAATAGTCACCACAGAATTAATTTTGTCAAGTTCCTAGCCATGCTAAGCACAATTTCTTAATTCAGTTTGAAAAGATAAGAAGTGTCTTGGACATGTGCAGCTATATAACCTGCAACAGCCAAGATTACATTTGATTATTAAATGAAACAGGAAATTCAGTGATGGGTACGAATCAACTGCAAATCATTAACTGCTTTCTAGTGCCCACAATGGCATAGCTAACCATGGAAATCTGGTTGGAAATCCGTACATTACAGGATCTTATTTGTACTGAATAAGGCCTTTGTCAGCTAAACAAGGCTGTGGATTTGATGTGGATCTGGATCTGAAACTTTTAGATACAAATCAGATACACTTAGATAAAAATTTTCACTTTTAAAAAGTGAAATTATTATGGAATATCTTGAATGGGTTCCTTTTTTGAGTAAGTGCTTTTTAGGAAAGTAACAAAGTCTTTCACGATACAGAATGACAAAAGACGTATTGGTGTTTTGATAAAAAGTGGCATGTTGTAGAAAGAAACCATTGTGTTAAAGTTTGACATGACTGGATCTCTTTAAAGGTCACTTATTACTGGAAGGAATATCCCCCTCTTGCAGCATGTGTGTGTATCTATATATACATATACACGTGTATTCTATGCATTCAGTCTATACAGAGCAGTGTGTTTGTCCCAGCTGAACTTTTGTTTGTCTGCAGGCTCTTGTGATAGCTGGGATCTCCCTTCAGACTGCTAATTTATACGGCTACATCCACTGCAAGTTAGGGGGACAAAAAAGCATCAGCAGAGTCACTTCAAGGTTTCTTGTAACAGCAGCTGTTCCCAAGAGTAAGTACCGAGTTGGCCTGTCAGCTACAGCCCATGACACATCCCATACTGACCTGCCTCGCACTGCTGCTTTCAGCTCTTCCTAGGTGTTAGGCCCCAAGACACCTCCTGGCAGGGCTATCCTGATTCCCCAGTAATCCTCTCCCAGAGAACTTGCTTGGCAGGGCTGTGCCCTGTGGTGCTTTGCTGTTTTGGGAAGCCTGCTGAAGTTTCACAGCTGAGCGGCTCCCAAGCCCCATGAAGAACATCCTCTGAGTTAACTCCTCAGAGGGGGATGCCTTCTGAGGTATCACAGTACCTCTGCCCACCTGGGAAAGCGATCTCCAACCCAGGCTTCCACCAGGCTCTTCCCTGCCTTTTGTAAAAGATTCCTACAAGCTGGGTCATGCCAGCACTCCCGCTTCCTGCGTCCACTCTATAGGATAGACAAGGAGGATCTCAGAAGACTGCACTGAAGAACATGGGAAGACAGCCACTAGGTAATCGAGTAAGGAAGAACTAAAAGGATGAGCAGTAAAAAATATTTATTTACGAAAGCTGTTATTCATAGGAAGATATTTAAGTTAAGCTCTTCTAGAATTATGCCTGCATTAAATGAGGATTTTGTGTCATTTGTGTTTGTCTTGCAGTTCTGGAAGATTGAGAGCCTTTGTTACTTACTTAAAGGTTTCATCAGAAAGTGGTTTGTGTAGGCACAAAACCAACGCTTACGGTTTGTACAGAACACACTTCTTTAAGAAAACACCTGTCAACCAAACTGAAACTGCTGGATTATCTTAACCAAGAATTAGAGTGTAATCAAGACGATGCTCTTTTGTTTGATTTTGGAACTACAAACAAAAACAAACTGCCTTTCCTTCTTGTACACAACACTGAATTTTCAAAGCTTTGATCCCACAATAAAAAGAGGAATTACTACTATAAAGGGCCTCATTAAAGATATCAAATGTTTACTTTTTAACATTCAGGCTTAGGGTTAAGCACGAGACCAAACAACAGTGACAGAGCCCGTTCACACAGTACTTGTATGAAGCAGTCAGTACTGTATAAATAGTTTTAGTATGTTCATCTCTTTCTGATACCTGTAATAAATAAAATATTGTACTTGTACTATAATTAACTTGCCTGAACTCTAGTTGGTTTCTGGTTTAAAAGTGATGCCAATTATTAAAAAGACAATACTATACTGGATTTCACTCTAAATACAGAGCTTTTCCACTGAAATGATGGCATTACAATTCATCCTGGCACAGAAGGCAGGACAAAGCCCACTACCTGTGCACAGCAGATACATTAAACAACATCCCAGTAGCAGCCAAGCATATTTTATATTCAGCTTTGTAAATAAAATCTTGTAAACACGTCTTCAAACACCAACTTCATATTCAGGTGGTTAGTGCCAGGACACCGGATGCAGGTTGCACCTGTGCACCTAACAGAGATGCAGTTTTATAGCTTTTAGCAAGCTTTAAGACCACCTCGGAACAACAAGAATCTTGAACTATGGAAAAAAAAACTAAGGCAAGAACATTCATATTAAGAATTTATTTGCAAGATACAAAAAGAATACATTCCTTCTATGGAATCAAGGCATAAGTTACATTTCTATAATTACACATGAACTAAATTTCAGATAATCTTTTCTTCTCGAAAATGGTGTTGATCACAGTACTCCTGAATCCCTGCAGAGACAGTGAAAAAGCAATGTAAGTAATACTTCAGTGGTGGATCAGGAGTTACTTATTGCTGCATTGCTCTGTCCCGTGTTGGCACAAATACCACAAGTTGGGCTCTTATCAGTGAAAATGGCTTTAGGAGTTCCCCAGCTGTTTGTATTCTTGACCTGCACACCACCAGCTCTTCAGCTAGTTTTTGTATGTTTTTTTGCGCAGTTATGATTAGAAGTAGGGGCAGTAATTTGCCAGCTGTACCATACTCAGCTATGGTGGGCACCCCTCAACTGGCATGCTGGAGAATCTGAGAACTTTTCTGTGAGAGCAAGTACACAACACATCATTTCTGAAAATGAATGACTGAAGCCAAACACTGAAACCAGTTCTTACATCCAATTTCATTATTGCTTTAAAAGCCTGTCCTAACTGATGCCCAGAGAACATAGTGTTTGCATCTGTTACTTTCATAATTGCTATGCACATCTACTGGTTTGGGCAGAATAATATAATTCTGTTTAGCTCCTTTACACATTGCAGAAGTGCTCAGAACCAAGAGGACTCACTTGCACAGTGATGTTCACTTACTTTGAATGATATTCCTGTAAGATGACGTAGCTGGAGACTCGGGTGCTTCAGACAAGAAAGACTGGCCTTTGTCACAACTTTTTCCTTGAAGAACAGGGAAAAACATGAAAGCAACGGAACAGGAAGAGATGAACTTTTCTTGATTTTCCCCTTTATTCTGCCTACCAGTTGTAGCCTTCCAAAGAGCCACTTGCACCTACTATTCCTTTTAAGAAATCCTCATGTCAGTAACATAACTAGAACTACAGCCTACATTTTTACAATGGAACACTATTAGCAGAAACCTTCAGCCATTGGTCTGGGAGCACTGACCCGTTCCTTGATATCATTTAATCAAGTATTAATTGCTAACAACTGGTGGGCAAGGAACCCAGCCTTCTCACTATCCACAACAGAACTGGAACCGTGAAGTTTAAGCACTAGTTTTAATGCCCAACATCTACAAGATATTATTCTTTGTAGCAGTTATGATTTTATTCAGTCTGTACCTCCAGGTGATTACACCAAATAGCCATGTTGTACTTCCAGTATGGTTATACAGCAGAAAATATGGATAATATAATCTTAATCAAAATTAACTTTCAGGGTAAGGAAATCATGCTAGGACTCTCTCTCTTGACACACCATGTTATGTCACAGTTCCAGTAACTTTCGATTCAAAAAATGTTCCATCTAAAAGTCGATATTTACCCGAGAGACAGAATGTTTAAGATTCTAATTCATCACTGTCCAAGTCAGGGTTTTCCAGCAATAACATCAATATAGGAGGAAAAACTTGTTTTAAATGTAATGCAATAGAGTAACTTTACCTATTTGAGGATCTAGAGGCACTTTACCCAGGAGGGAAACATTCAAGTTTTGGCACATCTTCTCTGCACCTCCAGTAGTTGGGGGAAAGATCCGAGATTCATTCTGGGTCAACATGAAAATCAGGGTTAAAATATTGCAATTCTGAGAAGAAGGCATTTTTGGAGCAATGTTTGATATACAAACATCATCAAGATAAAAAATGCTGCAAGATACAGGTAGTCTTACCTTACACTTCGGACATATAAAGCCACTCATGTTTTCCACAACACCTATGATTGGCAGTTTCACTTTATGGCAGAAGTTGATCTCCTTCCGAACATCCTGAAGGGATACTTCCTACAAATATCAGGAAACACTCCTATTTTGACTGTAATGTTTTAATGCTGAACCCATTAACTCACATCCTTAGAGCTATTTCAAAGTTCACAATGAATTATTACCACTCTCTTTGTATTCTGAAGAATGCAAACCTGCGTTACGTGCTCTAGCGGCAATTCTGTAGTAGCATCAGAACAGGTACAACAGTGCTTGCCTAACGAACATGGCTCCATTTCAAACTCTGACTTCAGCCATATTTGTTTTAGCTCCTCTACTGACCTCGTATCTTTAGTTCTTTAAATGTAACTGTTTCACACTTTCAGTGTACAGAGAGACTCCTGCTGTTCTGTGTAGAGCAGGCAGGGACAAGAACCACCAGGCTCACACTTGTTTTCTCTTTTCAAGCAGCTTATCAACCTCTCAGGCTTTTCACATACACGCCTGACTTCACTCAGCTTTCCTGCTCCCTTTTCCTGCCCTCACCATCTATCTGATACCTCCTTCAACATTTCACTTCCTTTACATTTTATTCTTTCAGCTGTTGTGGAAATACTTTTTTAAAAGTCTTTTGCTAGTTTGATCTCCTGTTCCTTTCCAAACCAGGCATTAAAAATCTATGCTTGAATTTGATGTATTTTGAGTTTCTGCTCTTCAGGGGCTGATTTTTCTTTTAAAAATGCACAAAGTTGCCTACTGGAAGCAACAAGCTAGTGCACGCGGTGTCAAACACTGCACACCTTAGCGCTTCAAACCTAAAATTCTTACTGAGTTCTGAACATCAAACCATTGGTGAGTAAATCACAAATTATCAATTATGTGAACTCTCATCTCGAAGAAGGAAGTGAAACACTGCATGTTCCCTTCACCACACAGGTGCTGACAGCTTTGGACTGTGAACTGCTCGGTGGTTTAGCGACCCACTCAGATCCCCTGCTCCACCTAATGCACAAACCAGCCAGCTGCAGGCACAGAACAAGGAAGTCAAAACCCTTAGACTCCGAACCATCATTTCTCTGAAGTTTAACAGAGGCTCTGACCCAAGGATTGCCTTTAACTGCCACAGTGCTTCTGCCAACGGAAATTTAGTTCTCATACCTGTGGGGTAGTGATTATAACAGCCCCATCGATGTGCGCTGCGCTAAGATACTGCACGATTGATAAGTGTTCATCTGATGTTCCTGGAGGGGTATCTACAATCAGGTAATCGACTTCACCCCAGTCCACGTCACGAAGAAATTGTTTTATCAACCCTAAAAGAAAGGAAAAAGATAAATCCCTGTATTTAAAATTTTAGGGTCTACTTCAGCTTTTACAGTCTAGGTAAGCAGATTCTTCTGACTCATCAACTTAAGCACAGAAATGCTTATTTTGCCAAGGCTTTAAAAAACCCCCTCAATACAGCATTTGGCCTTCTACCATCATAAAATGGGTATGTTCAACTAAAGAAAACAAGTAACCATTCACCCATTTTTTCCCTGTAGCCTACTATATTACATTTACATCATTAAACAAGCTCACAATGCTGAATGTTTCAAGTACCCAAACTGTTGTCAATACATACCATTTTTTTTTGGTCCCCTCCAGATGACAGCATCATCAGGACTACTAAGCAAGAACCCTACGGACATGACACCTAAGTTTTCTTCAACATACTAAAAGAGAAGGAGAGAAACCCAGTAGAGCATACAGAACAGCAAAGAAAGGAGAGAAACCAACTCTGTAAACAGAAATTTTGTAGAAGAAGCAGTTTGAGACATTAAGAAAATAAAGGCAGAGAACTTTCTGCTTCTATCAAAGGACACTGAAAACTACAACTTCTGTGCAATGCTCACCAACTACGTGCACAGACTGAAAAAACCTCTGGTTGTAGTACGATTTACAGTGGTTTATGGAATCACTGGTGACAGCATAAGGCTAAAAGCAGCTTTCCCTCTCAGCTTCAAGCTGCCTTTTTCACAGCATGCACACGTCTTTGGACAACTAACACCGCTGCAAAACTTCCCCTGCATTTTCAGAAGATTAACGAGGTTTTTCTTGGGTGTGAAATACTTGTCTGTCATTGAAAAGGTGATGTACTGTACAGCTGGACGACAACCAAAAATAACAAAATCAACTACCTTGTATTTATTCCTCATAATATAGTAGGGAAGAGACACTTAAAATAATGAAGCTGTTTTAGAAAAGTAGTATTATTATAACTAGCAAAAGAAATTGGACACTCTGATCTATACAGCCTTTTTACATCATTAGAAAAAGAACAGAAGGATGCATGGCTCCTCCCTCACTCATTTCTCCCTTTAGGAGAACCAACAAACTTTCTGAAAGTTACACCCACTTACCACTGGAGACCATCCAGACCCACTCTGATGAACCTGAAAATTGAAGTGACACAAAGTTACGTTAGAAATAAATACAGATGTTACATAGAACAAGAATGTAAGTCAAAACTGAATAAACAGCTATCCTGCCCGTAGGAACAACACTGCTTTATTGGAGCTGCTAAGTTAAAAACTGCAGAGGGCCAGATCTCCATCAGTAAGTGAACAGTAACAGTTCAACTCTTTTGCAAGAAACTTACCCATGACTTTATATATTTATATTAAATATTCTAGAGCTTACAAGTAACGTTAACATTATTAAGTTTAAATGAATATGTGGCTGATATGCAGCACAAGCTGGTTTGCAGAACTGGTCATCCTGAAAGCAGACAACTCTTTTGCGAAGTCAATTATGCTCAACTTCTCTATCTCATCTTCTTTACTTCCTCACCCATTGCCACACATTTCCAAATAAGCAGTCTTTTTTGAAACCTAAGTCTACAAAACCCTAAAACATTAGTGAAAAATTGAGCAGAAATCCTTTAAACAACAAGTTTGAGCTTTCACTCACCTGTTCTCCTTCTAGACCCATCATTTTAGGGATTGATGGCCCACAGATATCTATGTCCAGCAGAGCAACCTGGAAAACAAACCAACCAACCCCCCACCCGGGAACAAGCTCGCACAGGACCATTCCCAAAACCTAAATCACGCAGCGAAACCACCGTCCCGCCCTTCATACGGGAAACGGGTTCAGACCCTTCGGAAGAAGGAGATCCGTTCGGCCCCAGCCCTGCCCGGTTGTCCCAGGGGAGCCGCGGGGCGGGACCCGGGGC